TCGTGGTGCCCCCGCTCCTGGCGAAGGCTTGAGCCGGGCCCCTGCCGCCTCCCCGCGATGGCTCCCGGCTCCCCGCCGGCGCTCCTGGCTACGAACCGCGGGGGGCGGGTCCGAGGGGTGGCTGCTCTGCTGGGCGAAGGCCAGGGGAACTGGGATAGACACGGCCGTGGGGTGGGCTCCTGGCTGGGATGCCTTAGGACCCGCACATCCCGGACCAGGCGGCCCCCCAGGGCCCTTCTAGGCCTGGTGTTTGGTGGGCATCACCAAAGAGCAGGCCTCCAACCCCACTCGAGCGGTGTGCCCTTGTGGTCACTTTTTGGCAGGTGTCTGATCAGGGGTGCTCTCAGTGCCTCCGTTTCAGGTGTGATCTGGAGAGTGTAAGGACCGTGAAGCTGGAGTACGGTCATCATGACTCTCCACAGCTGCAGATCTCCACCTTCTGCCATATCGATTTCCTGCGGCCCAAGAGTACTTTGCTGTACCCGACCCTCCTCTAATACCCAGCCCCTGTTGCTGACACACAACCTCCTACCACTATGCTCTGCCTGCTTCCTTTCATACCCAGCACCCAGATGTCCCATACCAGAGTTAACCAACTACTTGTCATTGCAGTAGCAAGGGTGACAGTGCCCTCATTTCCCCGGATTTTTCCACAGCCTTTTACAGGGTGTTCCTGGTATTTTGGATTTTGTTCCCTGTAGATGGGGAACAAAATCCTCCTTACTGTAAGGAGGCAGGGCCGGTTACGGTGGAATGGGACTGATCTGCGGGATTTAGGATTGGAACGAGGGATGTGGCCGAGCTGGGGAGTGGGACTGGAGACGGAGGCTCTGGGCTGAGCTGGGGAGTGGGGCTGGAGACGGGGGCTCTGGGCTGAGCTGGGGAGTGGGGCTGGAGACGGGGGCTCTGGGCTGAGCTGGGGAGTGGGGCTGGAGACGGGGGCTCTGGGCTGAGCTGGGAGATGTGAGGCCAGCTCAGTGTGGCCTTGGACTCCAATCTAAGGCAGAAGGGGTCCATTTAGCCTGAGGGTAGGACTCTGTGGCTGGGCACCAGGTGACACTGAGCCTGGACCTTATTGTTGCAGAGGCTGGGCCATTGGAGGAAGGCGGATGTATTTTGCTGAGATCCAGTGGGCTCTGCTGGACCCTGGTCAGAGGCCTGTCTACAGGGATGTGGTACCTGATGGCTATGGGACCCTGGTCTCTCTGGGTAAGAACTAGTTCCCCTTTGCTGCTAGAGGCTTTCAGTCTCAGATGTGCTGGGATAGTCTTATCCTGTGGAATCTTCTTTAGACCCATAGATTTGTGGGGCTTTGGCCCTACTCTCCCCTGAATGTATGAGAGACTGGCTTTTGCACTCACCATTGTTTTGTCTCAAGGCACTTGAAGAGGAGACCAGTGTCACTGCTGCTGTTTCACTACTGGGGGTAACTGGGGCCTGCATGCATTTGAGCTTGTTACCTAAGCAGGTCTAGAGCTTGAATGGTGCTTGGAGGAGAGAGAGGCTTGGAATCCTAGGTGTTGTAGGAAAAAAGCCATGGAGTTGGGGTCAAATGAGTGAATGGGGAGACTTCTTTCAGCCCTTTCATTCCTGTTGAATAGGACTTGAAGGAATGAAAGGGGGGCACAGAAAAAGTAAGTGGTGTCATCAAGGTCACCAATGACAAAGGTGAGACTAGAATCTGATCTGTCTGCGACCTGGACTGCCTTCCCAGTGTTATCTATCTGCCTATTGAATGTCTGGTTTGAGGAAAAAAATGTTTTATTCTCTCTGGGCTCTAACTGAGTCCAGGACCCTTTGGTGCCAGGAGCTGTGCATGTGAGTCCTGTGAGACAGTCTGCCCTAAAGAGTGTACCATCTCAACAATGAGGCACATGGGTGAGAGACAGGAAATATTACTTAGGAGGTTGGTCAGTGAAAAGCACACCAGCTTGGGGATCACAAGACTGGGATACTAGTTCCTATTCTGCCACTGGCTTCCTGGGTGATGACTTTTAAGTCACTCCTCCTCCATCTCCTGTGCCTCAGTTTTCCTGCAAGTTAATCAGGGGCAATTATTACTATTTATTAGCATTACTGTAACACCTTTGAGTTCCAGGCTTTGGCTAAGACTGCAAATGAAAAAGAAAAAAAGCCTGGTTTTACAGATGAGAGACAGAGAGAGTAACTTCCCTGGGGTCATTCAATATGGGTAGCAGAGCCAGGTCTAGTGAAAAGCGCACCAGCTTGGGTAGCAGAGACAGGAACTGAACTCAGGACTCAACCAGTATCACAACCCCCTGGAATATCACCTGGCTATTGTATAATTTGTTGCAAAAAAGTCTTGTTAAGGACAGCTTTTTATATTTAATGCGTATATTTCCCTTTGTGATCATAGGCTTCATATTCATAATACCAAACACACACAATATAACAGATGGAAGACAAACATTAAGGTTGCAAAGTGAAGCACTCAAATGTTAGGAAACGTCAGAATCAAATAGGAGTGTTTGAACTATTTTTTTCAGTTAAAATAAAAGTAAAACAGAAAACAAACCTCTAAAAAATTTCATTTCAGGTCAACTTGAGATGCTTTCTTCGATCTCAAACAAGAATGTTTTGCTTCATTTTCAGGTTATTGGCCCTTCCCCTCCCGTCCTTTTTTAAAATTCAAGTCAAAGAAATTCAAAATGAATATACCATTTCAAAATGAAAACTCAAAATCTTGAAACTGTTTCAGTGTTTTAGAACAATTTCCCTATTTTTTTATGACTGAAGCTATTCAGGAAATTTGACCTGAATTAATTAATAGATTAATTTCTCCCCTAAATTGTATTTCCTCCTGTATTTACTAATGGTTATGGTGCTAACCTGCACCCTAACTCCTCTGCTCTAGAGTTAATCTTCCATAGATTTCATAGATATTAGGGCTAGAAGGGGCCTTGCAAGATCATCGGGTCCAGCCCCCTGTCAAAAGGGGCAGGAAGTAAGCTCGGGTCAAATGATCCTAGCAAGATAGGCATCCAGGTGTTTCTTGAAAGTGTCCAGAGTAGGTGCTTGCACCACCTCTAGGGGGGGTCTCTTCCAGGCCCTAGGGACTTGGAAAGTAAAGACGTTTTTCCTTATGTCCAGCCTAAAACGGTCTTTCAGGAGTTTGTGACCATTGGAACTTGTCTTTCCTTGGGGTGCTCTGGTGAATAGATGTTGTCCCAGTTCCTGATGCACCCATTATATACTTATAGGCTGTCACCAAGTCACACCTGGGCCTACGCTTTTCCAGGCTGAAGAGTCCCATCCTTAGCCTCTCCTCAAAAGGCCTACTCCCTTGTCCTCTAATCATGCATGTGGCTGTCCTCTGGATCCTCTCAAGCTTTTCCACATCCTTTCTGAATTGTGGAGCCCAGAATTGGATATAGTATTCCAGCTGCAGCCTCACTATGGCTGAGTAAAGTGGGAAGATGACTTCCTGGGTCTTGCTTGAGATGCATTGGTAGATGCAAGCCAGAGTTTTGTTTGCTTTGCTGGCTGCAGTGTTGCATTGGTGGCTTATGTTCATCTTGTGATCAATCATGACCCCCAAGTTTCTTTCAGTTGTGGTGCTAGCGAGCATAACACTGCTGAGCCCAATGGTGAGGCATAGGGGGTGCATGGGGGTACACGTGCATCCCCTGAGAGCGTGGTGCACCCCCTGACAGCCAACACTTCCTGCTTAATCAATGGGCAGGGGGGCAGGTGGGAGCACTGGTGCCCCCCCTGCGAGCACTGGCCAGGGAGTAGGGGTGCCAGGAGAAGTGCCGCTGGCACTACTGGGAGCACTGCTCATGCTTCCAGGTCAGCGCAGTTGGTTGCGGGGGACGCCCCCCGGGGGGGGGCATGTGCCCCCCCAACTCAGGAGGCACCAGTCACCCGTGGCCAAGCCTATAATTGTGGGTTTTTTCTCCTGAGGTGGAGCACCTTGCATATCTCCGTGTTGAACTCCATCAGGTTTTGATCCACCTACCTTGCAAGCCTGTCAAGGTTGACCTGGATTGCCAGCCTATCCTCTAGGGCAGAGCTTTCCAAACTGTGTGCCGCGACACATTAGTGTGTCGGCGGCAGTGTGTAGGTGTCTCGCGCAAAATGCAGAAAATTTTGCGGAAGGGCACCGCGGAGCTCCCTTACTTGCGTCTGCTTCCCTTGGCCCCTCCCCCGGAACTGAATTACTGTGTCGCGAAATGATGCATGTCTAAAAAGTGTGTCACCAACATGAAAAGTTTGGAAAGCTCTGCTCTAGGGTGACTTCCCCATAGTTTGGTGTCATCAGTGAACTTAGTCCACTTCTGACACCACAATCCAGATAATTTATAAATACTTTGAAGAGTACAGGTCCAAGAACAAAGCCTTGGGGGACACCACTGGTCATCATGCGCTGTGTTGATTTGGTTCCATTGACTATCACTCTCTGGGTCTGACCATGGAGCCAGTTTCCCAGCCATCAGACCATAAGGTTGTTGAGGCTGCAGTTCCCCAATTTTACCATGGGGACATCATGGAGCACCAGGTCAAAGGCTTTCTTGAAGTCCAAATATATGATATCAACCTCTTCTCCTGTGACGTCACCTGGTCACAGAAGGAAATGAGATTGGTCAGGCAAGACCTACCCACAACAATCTATGTTGGCTATCTCTCAGAGTGTTGCCTTCTGTTAGCCTGTTAATGGTTTCCTTGATGATTTTTTCCAAGGTCTTTCCAGGGCTTGAGGTCAAACTGATTGTCCTGTAGTTCCCCAGATCTTCCTTCCTCCCTTTCTTAAGTATAGGCACCACATTGGCCTTCTTCCAATCTTTAGGTACCTTGCTTGAGTGCCACGAGTTCTCGAATCAGCCAAGTTCAGGAGGCAAGTTTCCCTTCGATCCTCAGGTCGCTCACTCCTTTGGCCAGTACCAGGTCCAGCAGCGCCTTGCCCCTTGTCAACCCATAGACTTCTTGAGACAAATAGAGCTTATCAATGCAGGTGAGGAAGTATTGCGAGCAATTGGATTTGGCTGAGTGCTCTTCCCATGAGATGTCAGGGTAGTTGAAGTCGTCATAATAACCATGCACCGAGACCATGCAGCCTCAGCCAGTTCCATAGTGAATTCATGGTCAAGTTCTTGCTGCTGATTAGGAGGTCCGTAGTAGACTCCTACCATTATATCCCCTTCAGCACGTTCCCCCTGTATTCTGACCCAGAGGGTCTCAACTCGCCCTCCTTGGTTGACAATCTCTGCCTGTAGAGCAGTGTACTGCTCCTTCACATAGAGAGCTACACCCCTGCCCTTTCTTGCAACACGGTCTCTCCTGTACAAGGTATAGCTATTAGGGCTGTGTGAAACTTTGAGTGCTGATTTGATTTGGAGGAGATTTGGCCCGATTTGGTGGCTGAATCTCTGAATCAAATCAGGAGACAAATTAAAAGGCCTGAATCAATTCAGAGCTTTCCAAATCGATTTGGAAAAGATTCGGAGAGCTTCAGAGATTTGGGCAGTCCCCGCTTGCTGCCGCAGGGAGCTGGACCCGGACTCTGTGCTGGTAAGTAGGGGGCAAGGGAGGGGGGGCTGGAGGAGGGTGGAGGAGACCATCCTCTGCCTGCTCCCCCAGCCCCCCTGAGCACCCCTTGA